GCGGGGGTGGGGGGGGGGGGGGGGGGGGGGGGGGGGGGGGGGAGGGGGGGTGCCTGCCAGCACTGGGGGAAGCTGTCCAGGCACTGGGGCTGCAGCAGGGCAGGTTGCCCTTGAGGGGCAGCAGGGAGCTGTGTGACTAGACTGGTGGTACTGGGGCCAGTGCTTGGGCTTGCAGGAGAGATGCTAGAGGGAGCAGTAGGTTGCCGGTCAGGAGTGAAGGTCACCAGCAGAGCTGGAGGATCTGTGGCTTGGGAGTGAGAGGTACCAGGGGAGCGGGGGACTATGAGTCAGAAGCATGGGGCACAGACAGTGCCAGGGGGCTGCAAGTTGGGAGTGAGGGGCATCAGCAGGGATGGGGGGGATGGGATTGCACATTGGGACTGAGGGGCAGCAACAGGGCTAGGGGGACTGTGGCTTGGGACTGAGGGGCAGGGCACAGGGGTATTCCCCCCCACCCCCAACAGATGTCCTTTTTTTTGAAACTGGAACTATAATAACCCTAGTGACCATATTTTTAAGGAAATCTGGGAGACTGCCCCCCTGTCTGTGGCGCTGCTGCAGGCAGAGGCAGGGGCACGGGACACAATCTGTTGGGAGGTGGAACCTGTCTGGCACACCCTATCACTCTGCTTCTCCGCCAGGCTGTGCCTCTGTGATTCTGGCACTTCTGTTTCAATATTCACCAACCAACTAGGATAGGTCTATGAAATCCGGGACTGTCTTGGCCAAACCGGGACGTGGTCACCCTATGTATAGAAGACTTGACTTGGCACTTAGACACCACAGTTCCAATTTCAACAAATATGCTGTTTAGTACCCTTCCTTTTGCAGTTAACTCAATTTTGGATTGATCTGCATAATGTTCAGATGGTATAGTAACTAACTGGATGCATATGTTGAGTTCACTTATTTAGAAAATCAGTAATTGGACTTTTGTCAATATATTGATGTTTCTTGTGCCTTTGCTTAAGCAAGGTACTATATCCTCTGCAGTCAGTGGAATCTGGCCTGCAAGAAACCAGAAATTTGAGGTACCTCCAAACAAAGGCTCATATATAATTAAATATAAGAATAAATGGCCTGCCCCATTGCAGATGGTTAAACTGGATGATCTCTCAAGGTTTCTTTGGTTTCTGTGCTTCTATAACATAATCACTATAAGATGTATTTTTTTCAATATAAAAGCATATTTCTTCTTTAAAAGTGACTTCCCTTTTCAAATTGCTTTGGGATTTCCTATTCTTTATTATTATTGATTTCAGTTTTCTGCACTAAGATTTTATGGAAGTGAAAAAAATAGGATGGGTGTAAGAGGTAAGACTAATTCTGAAAATTTCTAGGCCACCAGTCCAGCAGAAGGAGGTTTTTTTGTTTTGTTTTTTGTTGTGGGGGAGGGGAGCAGTTTGGTAGCTGCAGGTTGGAATTACCCAGATGGGCTGGGACCTAGTCACTATTCACAGCTTTTCCTGGCTGTAGTGTGGCCAAAGTCCCCCAACTCCGCAGACTGGATCCACTGGCTCCACAAGCCATACGTTGCTGACTGCTGGCCTAGGTTGATGGATTCTGCCATGCAATATGGTGGATCACTGAGCTGAGGTATTGTAACCTCATGATGTAGTAAAAGAAAAAAAAGCACTATTGTCATAAAACCTGTACTGTTTACAGGTTTTATGACAATAGTGCTGTTTATTCTTTTACTACAACAGTAAAGATGTCTCTTTATTTACAGATAGGGAAACTGAAACAGAAAGTGTCTTCTCCAAGATTGCAAAAGTAGTCATGGTTTTAGTTGGGTTTAGAATTTGGGAATTTCTTGCTCCCAGTGTGCTCAGACCATACTTCTCTCTTTATGGCTTAGGGTTAAGTTGGCATGTGCATGTGCCACCTAGCAAAATACTATATAATTACAGGAAAGCAAGATCACAGGAGCTAAAATTATTTAAGCTTCATCTGGATATTTTGGCAAGCAGAAGTGAATAATTTCACACTATACAGTCTTGTTACCAGGTTCATTTTCGGCAAAATGAAATGCCTACTAGCTGTGCTGGGAAGTCTCAAAGGGATTGTGTTATAGCAGTGACTTTTGAGAGCAGGGAAATCCTTTACTTGGGCTAAACTTCTCCAGAGTATTTGAATGGTTAGCATGAATTACTAACCCTTGACCATTGTTCAAATGGTGCATGAATATTTCTGTGTTCAGAGGTATCCAGATATTTCCAAGCCAGTGCAGCTCCCCTCCTAAGAGATGTCTTAAATCATTGAAGTTGAGAGCTGAAACTGTTTCATACTATATATGGTATTTGCGCAAGTGGTAGAAATCTGAGTGTATTTATAACACTAGTTTGCTGCAGTAATGTAGATTGGGAACAAATGCTTGTTTGGATAATATCCAGCTCCTAGGACTGGTTTTACAATGGCATGGAAAATCTGTACAGTATACAGCTTGTAAAAGCAACAGTTAAATATCTAGTAAGGGCTTCTTTTTGAAAAGTTTACATTTGTTGAAATTGTGTATGCCTAGAAACATGTAATGAATCATATAATAGTTTGTCATCGTACGTATGAGTTTAAAAAATGCTGTTCTTATTTTGACAGCACAAACACTTGGGAATTTCCAGTTTCACTTGTTTAGCAGGTGGTGGTTTTGTTGTGCAGAAGCAGTTATATCCTCTTTTGAGGCATACAGATTTCAAAGTAATACTGTAAGAATATTGTGACTCTACACTTGATAAAATTACATAGCACTGAAATGGACGAATCCAGTCATGAAATGAGCTGAGCTGCTTTGCATGCTGCCAATAAATGTTTGAATAAAAATAGTTGGTAAAAAAAAAAAAAAAAAAAATGACACAAGTGTTTTTGGGTGTGTTGGTTTAACCATTTATGATTACAACAGCAGCTTCTTTTGACACACCCCATTTACTAGGTCTTTATATTTCTACATGGATAACTGTTGTACATGGGGCCCATATGAGGTAATTATTTATTGGACTATGATTTCTCATAAGCTGGAACGTAAATGAATAATTTCTTCCTTCACTTTTCTGAAATTGCCAGTGTGTTTTTTTTGGTTTTTTTTACTGTTGCAGGATGATCAGAAAGAAAGAGAAACCCTCATTTATCTCAGTAAAGAAGAAGTTAAAGAGAAGATTCAAAACTATAATTCATCTGTTACTGACAAACTGAAGATGACCTTGGTAAGATTCACGTTGAACCTTATAGTTTATAATGATTGTAGTTCTATAAAGATCAGCTGTATATTAGTCCTTTTATATAGTGCATTAGGAATCATTTTCTATCATTTTGCATAAAAAACTGTAACTTAATAAGCTTTAGTGTACTACAGAAAATGGATTTCTTTGCTCTGAAATATGTTTTAATCCATTTTAACTCTTTCATTTTTATTCAGTAAGGGAGATTTCAGCAGAAACTACAAACTTTTACATAATAGTACAAAAAGTTATATCCAAAACCAACTGTCAGTTGTTGCTATAAACAAAATAAAAAATGGGGTCTTGTACCCCATTTTCTCTCCAGTAAAGAGAGACTTCACCACTTTATTTTTTTATAAGACAGTCAATCTGTAATTGTCCCTTAGAAAACTGTGTTGTTGTAACTGTCAAGTAGATAACAGCGTGGTATTTTGATTAATTTTATTTCAGAGTTATTTTCTGGGGATTGCCTTTTTCAGGTTGGTGAGAATTACATAAGATTATTCATAATCTAAATTATAAAAAGTGTGTGAATTCTGAACTTCCAAGACTTCTGCAGAACTTGAAGAATTCAATCTGAGTTTTCCCTTATTGGTATTAATAAAATCTATTTACTTTGTCTAGTAAAATGTAACTATCTAAATTTTCAGATCATGTTATGTTCCACTGGATATACAGTACATCCATATTTAAACACAGTGTTATATTCCAATTAATTTTATGCGCAACCATGTCTACTGAACAGATTTTGTTGGGTATCTTTTAGGTGGTTTGGATTTCTAAAGTCATGTAATCTAAAACTCTCTAACTTGATTAACTTTTGACTTGTCTATTGTTAGTATTAATCTAATCAACATGGAAAATGTCTTATTCAAAGAGCAAAAGCAATAAAGTACTTTCAAAAGAACCTAAAATAATTAGCACAAAAACAAATTAGTGCGTGAACTTGCAGCCTATCTGCTCCTCTAACCTGTCATGTACATGCTGTAAATGCAAGGTAACTCAGCCCACTTTAAGGGGTAAGAGCACAGTTACCATGAGCAATTGAACCAAGTTTTCACCTTAGCTTGTCTGACAGTAGAGTTAATAGTACCTTGCTTTAAGGCCCATTTCACAGTAGGGTATGGATATTTAAATCTGCTTTGTCAACCACAACTGCGAGCATTTTATAACCACGTGTGATGTTAATGTTTGTATTTGTGCAACATAGAGAATGTTTCATATACAGTAGATAGCCAAAGGCGACTATGCACATCTGTATCGCTTACGAAGCTACATTAAAAAAGACCACATTAAGGCTGCATAGTCAAGAATTCAAAACTTAAGAAATGGCAGAGTTAAGGTTTCTTGAGTATTCTTGATCCAGTCCTCATGTACATACGCATGACAGAGTTTAATGAGTAACTATTCAATGTTTTTTTCTCCTCTTTGTTCAGTATGGGACCCCATGCTGCTCTTAGTGCATGCTATCTTTATTCCCCTCCAAAGTTTTTCTAAGGACCTCTGTTACTGAGCACCTCACAGTGGTGTTATGCAAATATACTCTTAAATGTTTAAGGTGGATAGGTATTGTTTCCACTGTATAGATGGAGGAACTGAACTCGGAGTTCAAAGTCAAAAGTATCCCTTAACTTTGGGTGCCTAATTTGATGCTCTCAGCCTACATTTTTCGGGGAATTTAGCATTTTATATATTCACTGTACTGCACGTAAGTTTCTTCAGCTGCAGCGTAGCACTTATGCAAATTGGGTGATGGTGTATTAGGCAGGCACCCAGAAATAATGACTATACCCTTGGTGATCCCTGTGATAATCTGGATTTAGGTGATCTGCCAAGGATGACACAGGAAGTCTGGCAGAGCCCAGCTCTCCAGGGCAGCTTTCAGCTGTCTTAACCATGAGACCCACCCTTTAATTCCCAAAGCCCTCTACCTCACTCACTGCATACCTTTCAATTTCTGCAGCAAATGAGGCAGGGATATGGCAGGCAGCAGCCTGTTTCACTACACTACCCTAGCTTCATCCCTACAACAGCTCTGTCCTAGAATGTAAATGAAGACAAATAGTGTGTGATTGTTGCCATTAAGGACTGGCAAAATGCATATGCATACAAAAGCCAAATGAAGTTTGCGGAGGCCGCCAGAATAATGGTACTTCTGATTTTGCATGCTTAACCTTGCAAGCTTAATGATGTTTGTTGGATGTATTTGATCAATTGTGATCTACCCCTCTCTCTCTCTAAAAACTCAGTTTTTACCATGTGGCCAACATGGGTGATTAGGTAGACCAGTAGTTCTCTACCTTTTAGAATTAAGGCACCATCTATGACTTTTCTGAACCCAGCTCCACGGACCCTGGTGCCAGTGCTTGCAGCCTCCCCACTGCCTGCCACAAGCAGCCGGGGCTCTGTGGTAGGCAGTAGGGGCTTGCCCAGAGCCTGGACTGGCTGTAGCAGGCAGCTGGGAGCTTTCAAGTGGCTGCCTTGGGGTCTGCAGAGCCCTGGCCCAGCTCATTGCCAGGGCTCCACAGACCCCAAGGCAGCCACTTAAAAGCTCCCTGGCTAGTGCATGCACATCTTGGGGCAGATGGCAGGGGAGCTGTGAGGGGCCTGATGCTTCGCTGCCATCTGCTCCAAGGCGCATGTGCACTTGTTACTGGCAATGAGCTGGGTTGTGGCTTCATGGACCCTGATGCAACTGCTTGCAGCCTCCTGGCTGTCTGCCATAGCCAGCTCAGGCTCTGGGCAGGCCCCTGCTGCTTGTAGGAGGTAGTGGGAAGGCTGCAAGTAACTGCACTGGGGTCTGGCTTGTTGCTGGTGGCAGGCACATGTGTTGCTCTAGGCAGATGGTGGGGAAGGGGCTGAGGCTGCACTGCCACAACAAGGATTGGGCCCCAGCATGCCAACATCTTTCAAGTAGAGGTTGCAGATGTTTTTGGCCAGCCCCTGGTCTTGCTAATCCAGGGGTGAGCAAAGTCTAGCCCATAGGCCAGATCAGGCTCACAGCAGACTCCTATTTCCCAGCAGCCCCTGCCTGCATCACTGGGTTGGTTTCCATGGAGATCATGGCTAATCAGGGCAGGGTTACTGGGGCTCCTTAGCCAATCACAGGTGCATGTGTGTGGGGGGGCACTGTGATAAGCCTGTGAAAATCTCAGTTGTTCCCGCAATCAGCCCATGAAGTCAGTTGCCTGCCTCCTCGATTTTTGGTAGGTCCCTAGTTATAGAAGAATTGAAATAGATGTGGGGATATTTAAGAAGTGAACATATTTGTTTTTTTTTGTTCTTGCTTTTATACATCATTTAATTTACACTTTTTTCTCAAAACTGTTGTGTGAGGTTTGTAATTTTAATGTAAAAAAATAAATGCTGTACAAGCTCTTTTTGTCCTCTAAAATTCAAAGGCACTGCTGGACAACTTTCATTTTTAAAACTACTTTGAAATACCTCACAGGCATGGTTTATTGTCCATGAAGTGAAAGATTTAATCTTCATAAGCAGTAACTGTGAGGTTACTGTCTGAATTTAAAATAATTCACATGCTTCCTGACTAATATGAATGACAAATGTATTTTATATACCTACCAGATTTTTCTTGCAAACTTTTTCTTATTTATCCCAGCTTGCCTCAGTGTGAGCCCATGACAAAAATTAATTGTTGGTAGTAGAGCAACTTGATCCCTAATTTACAGACTGCTAAATTCTGACACTTTTTTTATACAATACATCATTTGATGCTATATAGAAACCACTCAGATTTAATTGTACTGGCAGAAACCGAAGTGGATTTTGTGGCAGCCATAGGGGAGTGGATTAGTGTGTGGATCTTTACAACCCTGTGGCTCTTAATATTGCACAGATTACAGGTATGTATTTTTAATTACTATTTAGTAAGGCCATTGAAATCTATGCTCTTTTGCTAATGATGCTTTCATAAACAATGGGTCTCTATTATTTTTTTAAGTGCTTGTGCTTGTCTTCCTGCTGCAGAACTCTAATGGGATTTACACTGGCTTCATCAAAGTTCAGATGGACCTATGCAGACCTATCACTGTACCAGCTTCCATGAATCCAGGAAAACATGCCCACAATAACAACGAGACTGCTTTTCACTTGTCTGAGGGCTACGTGAATACACTGCACATCAGCAGCATTAATACTGTTCGTGAAGTTATTGAGGCCTTGCTCAAAAAGTTTTTAGTGACTGATAATCCTGCCAAGTTTGCACTTTATAAACGCTGTCACAAAGAAGATCAAGGTATAATTTAAATTTCTTGCATTTTGATGGTGCAGTGGGCAGTGTGTTTGGTTTGGTATACTGGGTAGTTGTGATGTTAACAGGGAGGTAGAAGGCAGGAAGAGGAGAGGATGAAGATTTCTCTCTTCCCCCTACCTCCCCCCCAGTCCCTTCTCATGTAATTTCAAGTTACAGGTTCTCCTGTCTCATTCTGTGAGAAGTATTTTGTGTATGAGATGGAGACTGTGTAGACTGTAAAGGCAGAAGAGAGTGCTGGGTATTAAATCTAACAGCACAGATATCACAGGCCATTTTTTCACTTTGACATCCTATGCTAAGGCTAAAGAAATAAGTTAGACTAAAGTATTTTGGCCCTCAGTAACTGAGCTCTGTGCCACAGGCAGACAGGGAAAGACATCAGGGTGTCCCCAGATGCTTGGGACCCCCACACCCTGCAGTGGCAGAGAATTATGACATGCACAGATGATTCCTTCACAGCCTATAGCGTAGTTCACTTGATGGTATGTGAAAAAACCCAAAGGCCCCTGCCAATTTGTCCTAAGGGAAAATTCCTTCCTGACTTTCCATCTCGTGAACAGAAAGCATGAGCATGTGAGCAAGATGCATACCAGCCATGCATCTGAAAGAAAAGGATTCTCTGTACTGCTGGAGAGCACTGCTCCAAGTCTCTCATCCAGTCTCTGGCCATAGCCAATCTCTGCCTCAGAGGGTGATTGAGGAAAGAAACAAAATGCATCTAGCCTTCTGTACTTCCTTCCTCACCCTTAGTAGTGATCAGCTGAAACCCTAAAGTATATGATCTGACTGTAATTGTCTTAACACAGAGCTGCAAATGATGCATGTCTTAATCTGACTGGGGGACAAAATGCTTTGTAGTCAAGTGGGATAATTTGGGGGTATTTTTAGAGACAAATTTAGGTAAACATTACCTGAGGAGTGAGAGCTTTTGGATTTTTTCCTCTGCAGAGCCATTCTAGTTCTGGTGATAAATAGAAGGTTGTTTTGGGACTTGAAAATAAGTAAAAAGGAAAGCCCTCCCCCCCACCTCTCCTCCTCCCCCCAGCAAGTCCTCATCCCATGTCAGTGTAATTGCAGGTATGAGTTATAATGTGATGGGAGTGTTGAGCTTCCTTCATAGGTGATATGTGGAAAGGTGCCCCATCTTCTGAGATTGTTTCTATTTGGGAAGCTGCATCCTTTCAGTATCCACTGACGGATAGTTAAGGAGATGGAACAGTGATCTTATATTCACAGAGTCGCACAGAAGTAGGGCTGGAAGGGACTTCCAGAGGTTATCTAATCCAACTCCCTGCCTGAGACCAGGATCAGCCTTATCCAAACCATCCCATACAATCAATCCCTAATCTAAATTCTGTATAAAACTACTGTCATCCCTGACACAACACAGACCTAACACCCTCACCTGCCACAGGTAAAGCAGGGGAACCATGGCAGCCAATGTCCTGCTTCTATGAAATGTTGTCTATGTATGTTCAAGAGATCCCAGGTAGAGGGTTGTGCCTGTCCCCCTCCCCCTCCCCCTTGCTACAGAGGAAGGCAAAAACTCCCACAGCCCATACCAATCTGACTATGGGGTAGAATTTCTTCCTGGCCCCAGATATGGTGATCGGTCTGACCCCAAGTGGACAGTCAAGACCTACTAACCAGAAACCCTCTGGTTTTGGTCCCAGCAGGAGGATTGGCACACCCCAGTCAAAGTCCCAAGCCTTGGCTGTAGGCAACACCCAGTGCCTCTGAGGGAGGCTTAAAACCACCCTGACACATGTAGTAGGAGAGGAGAGGTGGGGGCACCCAGCAAAACCTAGAAGCATGGGAAATTCCCATAGTAGAACATAGGCATACGTACGCAATCTATTCACGCAGTCTAATTGCTGACTGGTGTCTTTCCTGCCATTTTAGAAAATAGCTTTGAATAGGCTACTGAGGATATTGTAGAAATTACAAGTCAGATCCTAACTACCTTTTTGGGACAGTTGACTGAGAGTGTCCCTTCCTTCTATGGCAGCATCCATTTCGCTAGGCCCAAAACATATGGCTTCTGTTTCCTCCTGGCCCCACATATCTTGGCTGCCCAGTGGGCCTACTTCAAAAGGAAAACTGTAGATGGCAGTACCTGACCTGCGCTATTATTGTTGGGAGTATTTTACAGGAAAGAGGAGCTGCAAGTTCAACCCTCTTTGTGTAGGGGGAGTCTGGAACCCAGATCTAATGTTCACTGGGCAGGTGTCCTAATCACTAGACTGCTGAGCTAATGATAGGAGGGTTATCTTCTTCCCTCCCCCAGAATCCTGCTGTCTAACCTCCATTAGTGATGGACTTTGCCCAACTAAAATTTTGGGACTTGCCCAGCCTTATGTGTGTACCTAGATAATTCTGCTTCCTTGTGAAGGCAGTGCTGAAATTGCAAACTGTGTGGAAGTGTCAAGCTGCAGTTATGTGGCTAGGTATGTGCCACTTAAGTGTGTAAAGTGAAATAGGATTTAGTCCCCCTATCTGGTAGAAACTCAGGGTATTCATGAAGCTGTTGATAATTGGTTGAGGTCCTTAAGACTTGCATATGTTTTAATTAAGTTTGGGGAAACCACAGACTATTGGATAGTTCTATAAACTTCAGTATTTTTAGCTGAATCATTAAAATAAATGTTCTCTACGCATGAACAGGTATCTAGATGCTGTCACTTGCAGCCTATATTATGACTTGCTGTCCAGACAATAAATGTAAATATTCCCCAGTATCACTGAGCACATAGGTCCAAGAACAGTGGAGTAGTAAAGGCAACAGGCAAATGGAATATGAGATGATTTCTTTGCCCAGTATCAAGAAGATTCTCTTGTACTGGACATACTGGATACTTTCATGTGCTGGTTACCCTGTGCACCCAAAGAATCTCACCTTACACTAAAATGCTGTTAAAATCTAGGAGCGAGTGAATCCTGGTGAGTGTCTGAAATGTGTGTTTAAAAAAAAAAAAATTGATTCATAAGTGACATGTTCAGTCTGTCAACCTTTTCATGCAACTTGGAATCCTGTTGCTTCAACTGACGGTGGCAGCAGCCAGCTGATATGTAACACTCCTGGCCAGCAGTTATTTCATCTATACAGGCAATGTTGTCACGTAGACTGGAGGGGGTGAGAGAACCCCATTGAAGTCCTTTCCTAAAAAAATTTAGCTGCAGGAATTTGACCTGAAATACAGAATAACAGAAGCTGTAGTTTTACATCCTGTAAGAGCAGCCCTCCTGCTGGCATAGAGAGGATGCAGCCACACAATTGTGCGCCACGCATCAAGTCTTTGGGATTGGTGGGGAATTAGGTGCAGCCACATTATGCCATAGACTGCCCTGCATAGTCAGGTGACATGGGAACAAGTCTGTAAAATACAAGCTACTTCATTCATGTGCCATTGTATTGCTCTGTAGTTTAGATGTGGGCATTTCCAAAGTGAGGTTTCTACGCTTGATGCCCCATCTCAAATTCACTTCATAGCATATTTTAGGAAAGTGACAAATAGGCAGTGAAGTATGGAAACTGTTTATTTAGACTGATGGATATTCCTGTATGTTGCAGAGGTTCTTCTTTCTTTTGTACATACATTCAGATGCATTTCCATTTTGGCTAAGAGCCACAGCGCTCATGTTTTGAGTGGCAATTGCTGCCCAGTGTGTTCTGCTCAAGCCCTTCCAAACTGTTCTTTCACTAGAAACATCCCAAGCAGCACAAAAGTTCTGTGGCAACAAATGTATGTTGTCTTAATCCCTAGTAAGGTTCCTGTTAATACTTAAAATCTTTTATTTTTGAAACAATTTCCCTTTGCAGTGTATATGTGCAAACTCTCAGACAGAGAACATCCTCTTTATCTACGTTTGGTGGCAGGCCCCAGAACAGAAATGCTCAGTTTTGTTCTGCGTGAGCATGAAACTGGAGAGGTTATGGTAAGTCACATTTATGGGATTTTTGTGTAACTCTGTTTCTGTGATGATCCATTTCAGTGGCAGCATCTACATGAGACACATACGGTGCGGTAGCTCATTACTACTGTACAGTAGCGTCACTGGGCATAAATTGTGATGTAATGCTACAGCGCAGTAGTAATGAGCTACTGAACAGTAAGTGTCACTAGGCACCTGTGCTGGGATGCTACTGTGCAGTAATTCGAGTTACTCTGCAATCATTTAGTATTTGGTTATGTGAGTACTAAATGACTGCACAGTAACAACTGCATAGTGAGCATCTCATGTAGATGTGCCCAGTATTTACATAACTGTGTCCCTAATAGTGAATATACTTAGGGTGACCATATGTCCCAGTTTATCCAGGACAGTCCCAGATTTCAGAGGCTGGTCCAAGCTAGGTGTTGGGAATTGTAATGGGTGTCCCAGAAACACAGGGGTATGGGGCATAGTCTGGTCTGGAGTCAAAGTGGCATAGAGCACCTTGCAGGCAGGCAGACAGGTGCCTGCCTGGTACGCAGCCCTGCCCCTGCCAACTTGTGAGAACTCCACAGTAAATGTCTTGTGTAGGCATGCCCTGAATGTTTAAAATTAAATACATTAATAGTGTTCAACTTAAACACAATGAAACTGCAGTCACATGAACTATCCTTCTGCATTGTGGGCCATTGCTTAAATTAGGAAAAGTTTGCATGTGGTTGGAGGCTCTGCATTTCTTTTTGCTGTTGGTTTGCATTCTATCATAGTATCATAGTGCTTAGGGTCAGAAGGGACCTAAACAGATCATCAGGTCCAGCCCCCTGCCCCAAGCAGGAACGGGTGCCTGGGTCATATCACCCCAGCCAAATATCTGTCCAGCCTCCTCTTGAAGACCCCCAAGGTAGGAGAGAGTATCACCTCACTACAACTTGATGACTACAACTTGACAGTATTCTTATTAATCCAGTTCTTCAGGCTACTTCAGCACCAACAAGTGTGGAATCTTTCATGCCTCAGTGTGGTAAAAGGACTTGGAGAGAAGTCCAAAGTCTAATTAGGTAGCCCATATTAAGAGTAATATTATTAAGTCTTAGCCATTTTTAAAAAGGAAAATTCTTTGGAAAAACTGTCAATTCAGCATTTAAAGTTTTAAAACCTTAATGTACAGACCACATTAACTGTGACCTTGCATCACATAGTTCATAGCATACATTCTGATAAACACCAGTAGAAACTGATGTATCTGCATGTGGCCAGCTTGGAAAGTAAACCATCCTATGGACACATCAAGTGCTAATTTTATTAAAACGTTGGAGACTAGTATAACAAAATGTATGCAGGCAAAATGACTTAGTACCATCTTTCATTTCATCTTTGTTAGAAGCAGGGGGTCACCATCCATTTAAAATTCAGGAAGTTTTTTAAACTTGCAGTTTTTACAGGTAACACCTGATTGTTTTGTAAAACAGCACCAACAGAAGTGTTTTCCTCGTATTTTGCTTTAATCTGTGGTTTTGCAAGTTTGTGTAGCTAGATTCACCTTTGGCCCGCACAGAACAGAGAAGAGAAACTTTAAAAAAAAAATTAAACAAACCATGAGATTTGATAAAGTCCTTAGTTTAGTATGTGTCGTTATTTTCATTTTCCTTCTTGAAACTAACTGGATTTTGAATTGATGTCCATTTTAAAATGTTGTGTGAGTAAATAATGTGCTTGTTTCCTGTTTTCTACATTAGTCTCACTCTCCATTTTCCATCTCCCCCATAGTGGGAAGCCTTTAGCATTCCTGAACTGCAGAACTTTTTACGTATACTGGACAAAGAGGAAGATGAACAACTACAAATGTTAAAGAAGCGTTATGCAGCTTACAGAGACAAACTTGAAGCAGCCCTTGGTGGTGTGTGGAAACCAGGTTAAAGTGGGGCCACAGGACACTCAGGAAAAATGCACGCTACCTGATGTTATGTAGCATGCCAAACCAAATGTACAAAACAGCAGAAAAGAATAGTTTTCTTTATTCAGAAGACTGTTCTGTGATGCCGGGGTACCTGAACTTTCCTATAGACTTTGTCCCATAAGTCAGGTCACTTAGCATCTTGCACCCACAAGTTAGGGATACTGCATGTTTGTACATCAATTTGCAGCCCTCTGCTGCACCTAGAGGGCTTTCCAGGTTTCTTTGGTGCAAGCTGTGAATTTGTAATGCAAGTCAGTTTTCTAGGAGACTATGAAATAAGATTTTTTTTAAACATTTTTTTTTTTAATTCTTTGCTTTAATGTTAGTGAAAACTTTAAAAGTAAGGGTGTGCAAATTGATCGCTAAAAGTTATGAAGCAGCTTAGCTGTCTGAACAAGAATTAGATTGGGGCACTGTTTGAGATTTTAAAATTGATTTGCACTACCTTTTCTGTTTTCAACTATTTTTACTGTATAATTTGTGAGAAAACAGTGATAGATGGAATGGACACAAAACCTTGAGGTTTTGCAGCATTTGCAGATCTTAAAGTCCTTTTTCTGAAGAACGTAAAGAGCAAGTTGAAAAGCAGGTAAAAGTTGAGAGGTTGCAACAGCTGGTAAGGAAGAATTAATGTAAAGTGAAATACAAATATTATTGAAAAGAAGATGGAAATGCTTTTGGTAGTGTATAGTTGTACAAGAAGAAGGTTTTAGGATGTTGTGCTATTGTAAATAAGTTTTTAGAATTGAGCACATTCACACTGGAAAAGAAATAAGTATAATTAACACCCAGAAGGAAGGAAGCCAAATATTAGTGGAAATTGAGCTGTATATATAAGCACAGTTATTACAGAAACTAAATGTGTGAAGGTATGTGTGGTTTAATACATGCAGCAAATGTAGTAAGACCTGTTTTATGGATTTTGGAATGGCGGGTAGTGAGGATATCTTCGTTTTTATGGAAGTTGCATATCCAGCAAGCTGGTCATGGAATGTTTTAGGGTTTTAGAAATACAGCTGCATGTGCATTGGTTAAACTGTAAGTTGGTTTTTTCAGCTGAGGACAGATCCACTTTCAGGACAGTTTCAAATTATTGTATCTGAAAGTCGAGCACAGCTTCTGCTTATCTGTTAATTAAACTGTCCGTCAGACAAAAATGGAATTTCTAATTTGTATTTTCAAGATGTCAGAGAATTATATGTCGGTATATCAGTTATGTTAGTCATTCTGGCTTGGTAATTTGACAGTTTTAATTTTTCAAGTTATTAAATGATCAAACAGTTAATTACCAAATTCTGTACACTGCTGATTTACTTGATTTTTAAAGTAAGAAAAATGTAGCAAGAGAATTTTTGTACTTTACTGTAAATGTAATTGTTATACTTTCAGAAATATTTATCTAAAGCACATTCAGAAAAACCAAAGAAATAGGTGTGCAATAAGCATGAAGCAGATTTGAAGAACTGATAGGATTTAGTTATAACCACATGGTGGGGAAAACTAATGAGTTAAAGAGGTAAGAGATAGAAAATAGTGCTAACATTCAAGAGCATCACTAGCTTCTCTCTTTATTCTAAAGAGTTTGTGAATTCCCAAGGAATATTCAACACTTCAGTGACACCTAATGGATGCTTGGTAAAACTCCAAGATGCTTCTGTTCTGTACCTTAATTTGACACATTTGTGCCTTTTTATTCATTTAGTAGTGGGCATCTTTTTTGACAAATCTTAAGAACTTTTTTGAGTATTTGCAAATTTACCAAGATAACAGTTGTTTTAATGTGTTATGAGAAACTAAAAGTAGGACTTAACTATAAAAATATATATGACATATTTTGTGGGGCTTTTTAATTTCACATGTAACTTCGTAGTGCATGTGTGAATTTAGTAACATTATCATCAAAGTGCGACACTTTATTATAATGGTTCAGGGAGTGATTTTACATTTTTCCTAGAAATATTTTTTAATGAATACTAAAGTGATTTGTTGGGTATTTAGTTAACATCTACTATATTTATGTAGTGTAACCCATAACAATGTAATCTTTACATAATAGCTGTTAACACTGAACCATTTGTTGCTCAGATTTAAACACTGAGTGGAAAAAGTTTATAGATATGTGAATTTTATTTTTACTTGAACTAAATTATCATTCTTTAAAGTGTGAATCTTACTTTAGCCAAAAACCTCAATTGGTATTTTATGCACTACAAGTTTTGATTTGGAAAAAGAAAATCTTAATGTATTTTAATTTTGTCTTAGTCCACAGTTAATTGTTGCAAGACTGTTTGTTTGGGTTTTTTTGCCTTTTTTTAACACACTGGTGATTACAGCAGCTTTAATTTAAAATAAATGGTCAAACCTGGCTCAAACTTTATTCTTTATAATGTTAGTATCAAATTAATGTTAAAGCTTTGTTGCAGAATTGTCTTCTATTCATTATGTGATGGTACCAGAATGATGATTAAATGACATGTGCAAAGCCAGGAAATGTTTAAAAATGTCTTTAAAAAATGAATACTATTTATAATTTTGATAAGTTTAGCTTTATTTTTATAGGGAAGATTTTTATTCCCTTTAAAGTTGTTACCAAAATAGCAAGTGATGTTTCCATTATTAAAGTTGAAGTTGGAGTACTTTGCTGTGTGTAGTACTTTATTTCCCTTGCTAATAAATCCCTGCAGACCAGGTGATTTAAGTGTGTATCTCAAGTAAGTGTGACCTATCACTGTTGGAGAGCAATGCCTACAAAATACTTCACTGTTTTCATATGATGGAAGTACATTATCCTGCCTCCTTCCAGATACTGAACAGAAGCAGTTATCAAACTCTCTTCTGTATCATTTCACATTTTGCCATCTCTGCCTAATAATAGACCTACACCATTGCTAGGCTTCCTTTTGTTCGTGTTATACTTAAACCACTCTTTCCTTTTTGTCGTTAGTCCTGGCAGCCCTAGATTTTTCCCTGATGTCTTTTGTTTCCTTTGTCAGTCTCCATGGGCAGATCCAGGATTTGTAAAGGTGGTTTGGGAGTATTAATCAGTGCTGCAGGAGTGGCAGCACATGCAGCATCTTTATCCCACCCCCCTCCAACTGCCCCTCCCCCCCTGGATTGGGCAGACCGCACTGCCACCTGAACAGCAGCTGGGGACTATTAAGTCCTGGAAGCAGATAAGAATTCTGCCCCCCTGCATGCCCCTCCTTTTCTTTACATGCTGAGCAGCACATCCCCTACCCTACCCACTGTTGCTGCTGTTCCCAGCTAACCTGTGGTGGGGGGAGCTCCAGAGCTGCTCCCACCCTGATTCAGTAAGGCTGCACAGAGGCTGGGCTCATTTGAAGATAGCAGCAGGGGGTGGGTTTCTCCTCCCTGAGCCTGCTTCATAGGAGATAAGGCAGGGAGGATAAACCTGCTTGCTGTAGCTACACCAGGTTCAGCCCAGCTCCTTGCAGCCTGGCTGGAGTGGGCAGGAGCAGCTTTGGAGCTTGCCCTGCTCCCCGAGTCAGCTGAGGGCTGCAATAGTAGTGGTCAAGGAAAGAAGATAGTGGGGCGGAGTGGGGGAAGAGGGGAGGGGGGACAGCAGTAACAGTGGTCAAGGGAAGAAGATAGCAGGGGGCAGGGGATATTAAGTCCCCACTGCTGCTCTTGCCACATGGTCCAAAAAGCAGGTGCAGCCACGCCACTGCACCCTCTCTGGATTCACCCTTGTTACTCTTCTGTTTCATTAAATCTATATTGATTTACTATCCTTTCTCTGATGGCCAAAGTTATATTTTGATTGCCAAAATACATTTTTCCCCAGTCTAAAGAACTCCTTAATTGTCAACCAGAATGTTCTACATAAATTTATCTTTCTTGTATTTGGACAATGCTTCAAAATATTCCATGCTGAATGTAATAAAACCATGGTCACTGGTGCCTAGGCAACTACCAACTTCCAAACCAAGGAATAATTGATCCCTATCTGTCATAACCCAGCCTTTTTATATTGGGCTGCAATATTTTTTGTGTCACAAGAAGAAACTCTAATTTACCACATAGTGATAGGACTTCCAACTATGTTCTAACTGAAGTCCTCTATAACACCATTGTTCTTGTGCACTTGAAGAGGTGGTTAGAATAACTGATAATTCAAAACTGAACCTTTTTAGGGTGGGCACTGCTGCACTTGCATTTAAAATCCTGTGGTTCTTTTTTTTGACTGCTCTGCAACTCAGAGCCATAGTGTTGTTTTTAATGCAGAGCATGCTCCTTCCCATACAGATGCACTACCGTTTCTTCTACTTGACTTCTTCTACTTGACTTCAAGCTAACGTGACTAATGCATTTCTCTCTCTCAGCCTTCTAACCGGAACTTTTTGACATTTACATCATAAAGCTTCAGTAACAGCAATTGTATATATTTTTTCTTTTTTTTTTTATCCTGGTCAATTAAAACTTTAAGTTCCTTATGCTTATTAGCCCCCTAGCATTAATATATAAGCAATGGGAAATTTTAGTTTAGTTTTTAGGTCAGATGCCTAGTCGAATTTTCAAAAGCATCTATATGTATCTTTATTTGTCCAGGTACCTTTTGAAAATCTGGCATCAGGTTCTTCAAGATGTTGCAGTTTAAAACATTGTCTTTCACTTGTTCCCTGCTCTCAAAACTAGAAATTAAAAGAAAAAAAACACGTTTGCTTTTTTTTTCTTTTTCAACTACCAGTTGAATTTTTTGAACCTTGTGTCTTTCATTTGGACTAGCTTAATTTTTTTTCTTTCTGCTGCACAAGCCAGACAAAATAAAACTCGAATTATTTATGATGAGAAGTTACTTGCACAACAAACTAAAGTACTGACACTTGGAAAAATGCATTCACTCCATTGTAAAGACTAAAGTTAACACAGCATGTACTGTTGTGACAAATATAATTCATAGATTCATAGATTAAGGGTCGGAAGGGACCTAGTAGATCTTCTAGCCCGACCCCCCGCCAGGGCGGGAGAACAACAAAAAACCCCAAAAAGAGAAATGGGACTCAAACGAGTCCAGCCAGGTAGGCATCCAGCCTCTTCTTAAAGACCCCCAGGGTAGGGGCCAGCACCACTTCCCTTGGAAGTTGGTTCCAGCTCCTAGCCGCCCTAACCGTGAAGTAGTTTTTGCGGATGTCCAATCTATACCTCCTCTCCATCAGCTTGTGCCCATTATAATGCTTAATTTGATCCCTAAAATAAAAGCTGTCTTCCCCCTACCTCCATTCTATGGATAATTATAATTTTAATTCACTAAAATTTTAGAGTTACTCAGGTGGCTTACTATTTAAATTGTGTCAGTAAACTATAGGCTTGAACATAGGTAGTCAATTACAGTTTAAATACCTATTTTTAACGTAAATATATTTTTATACTAGCATCCTCTGATACACTTGCACAGGGTGGGTCTACATGAGATGGTTAATGCATAGTTGACTAATTTAGCTGTGCAGTAAATGTCTTGGTACATGCACTCCCATTAGGCTGGAGTAAATCTACTCTGCAGCAGGATAGTACTGTAAATACTGTAAATATCCTGCTGCAGAATTAAAAACTGTAGCAATGCACATGTAGACGGTGGAGGGACTGGCTGGAGCATTAGGGTGCTTTAGTGCAGGAGCTGCCTGCTGGCTATCCCCACAGTGAAGCTCCCTCATGGCCCAATTAGCCCCTCTGCAGCATGTTGAGCAACCCTGGGCTGGCAAGCTGACCCTTAGGCCCGCTGCCGGGGCTGTTCAACCAAGCTTCATGTGCTTGCATGAATAAACTGCAGAAATAATTGCTCTGCAGTTGATTGCTCCTGGGCTCATGTTGAAACAGCATGCCTGGGAGGAGTAAACTGTGAAGGGGCTGCTTAGGGCTCCCCCTTTGCCCCGCACCCTGGCAGACTGGGACCTGGGAGTAGGGGGGCACTGGGTTGGGAGCAAGGGACACTGGGTCAGGACTGGCCATCAATGTTTACAAATTAGTCCTGGTACAAAAAAGGCTGGGAACCACTGTTCTATGCCATACCTTGGTTATGATCCATAGGAAGACAGAGGTGCAAACATTTAGCTGCAGCTGTACAAAAATATTTATGCTAAAAGATTGGTGGTTTTGTTTACTGTAGAGGCTGAGTAATTCAAAGTGCTTTCATTAAAAATAGTCTGAAACTCCTAGGCAGTGAATATTGAGACCAAGGATGTTGATGTGGGGGGCCATGGGGAGCAGCTGGATGACGGAAATAAAAGGCAAGGAAGGGTGTGGTAGGGATGGCAAGGGGAGATCAGACATCTACAGAAATTATGAAAAAGGCAGTAAGCCAGACTTCTGGGCCATGGCACCTTGTCTAGTTGGGGAAATATTTTGGTTAGGCAGAAATGTGTAACCCAATACCCCCATGCCTCATATTCCCTTGGAATAGGACAATGCTTTTCAGGGTAGCTCAGGGCAACTTGGAAAGGGGCAGGTAAAGCAGTGTTAGTCTAGTCAGGCAGAAGGCAGGGGAGAGATGCACCTGACTGCCTGAATCACCACCTGTTAAGTGAGCTGTTGCTCATGGAAACTGATGCAGCTGCTCCGATGCAGTCAGTCTCTTCCCTGCTTTTGGCCCGGGAGGGAGCTGCACGCCTTGGGAGAAACTGCACTCATCTCCACCAAGTGGTTGGTTCACCTCAGCTTGCCAGCATGTTGCTGGGGCGTGTTCCTGCTCAGACCAGACAAAGCTGGCAAGTCCAGGCAGGGCTTTTGCCGCTGTTTTTTGAGTGCTACCTAAACCTTGAAAGATGGGATCTGCTGCCCAGCTGCCTTGATGACCGGGACTGCCCAGTCTGTCTCCATGGCAACCCACAAGAAGCCTTCATGGCCATCTGGTGCTCAAGGCAGCTGAGTGCATGCATGGGGGGCTGGAGGGGCAGGAGCATGGAGTCCTCGGACCTAAGTGAAGGGGAGCCCTGCGGAGGAAAGGTCACTGTGTCTTGCTGTCAGCAGCTCAGTGCAGGTAGGGGCGAGGGGAATGATGCCATGCGGGTGTGAACATGCCAGGCCCAGCGTGAGCC